GAAATACCTGAAAGACTAAATAGGTTAAGCTAAAATAAATTTTAAAAATGTGTACAGGTAAAAATACTAGTAGCTACTGTGTACATGTTACATATTCGTACCGACTGGTCATTGGACAGATGAAAACAAAGGTGAACTGTATTCATGTGTGTGTGTGTGTCTTATACCAGCTGATCTCGTAATCAACTGGGATCAAACAGGGGAATGCTATTTAGTCAAAACAAACACGTTATTTGTCCCTGATATGGTAGAAAATGTTCGTAGTACAACAAAACCTCTTCGAAGTTTGGGACGCTATTAAGTTTGTGTCCGTGACAGAATCTGTTTCCCCCAGATACATGTTCTACAGTTGATCCAAGCCGATCCCTATCATTCGGACCTAGTCAATTGTCCATTACCAAGGGGACGAGACTTGTTTACACTGCAGTATCAATTCTTAACAAATAACAATGGTAAAACCATACACTATTCGTACGTTATCGTAACTCATTGAGCGCAGTTAATGTCGCTACCATTAAGGACATTTACCTGTGTAGGGATCGTTGCACACGATTACTAGCTGTTTGTCTCCCGTAGACACGTGTGTGAGTGATGTGTACCGGATCTCGATGCACCCGGGTTTATTCATTTCTCTGTGCCTTTATATAGATTTTCAAATTTGTTGTTCATTAAAAACTTCAATTAATCAAGTAGTTTATTTCAGTTGTTATTGTTTTTTTTATTTTATACCATTACAAGACAATGTACGTTAATTAGTAATACGTTAACAAAGCAATATTACAGGAGGACATCCCACACACACACACGTACCAATATCTATCAGACTTGTCGTTCCTTACACTATGGACGAAACTATACACGCGGGGAATGTCACAAAACTAGCTTTTATGTATACGAAATACAAATACAAAAAGAACGACAAAGAGCTTCATCAAATTGGTCAAAACAGTTATTTTAGGTATTTTAGCTAGACCAGTTGACTTCAAAACGGCCTACGAATAACAAAGCACGAAAATCCGTGTTTTATTAGCATTTTATAATAGGATTTTGGAAAATGCACACTTTCGCAATGGAAATTCGAGAGGATTTTGGATTCAGCCCGTACGTACGTCTGTACGTATGTTACAAACTTTGTCCTCACTCTAGCGACTTTATTTCTCAACGGAATTAAATGATATCTCATAAAAGTGTTTGGGATGACAATGCTTTGAACAAGTGCGTGTTTCGGGGTTCTCCGTTGAAGGTCAGGGCACTTTTACTTTTTATAGGAAAATAATTGTCATCGTACTACCGACTTCATTCCTCAACGGAATTTCATGAAATTGATGCAAGTGTTTGAAATGGCAATACCTTGAACATATTCGCGTTCTGGGTTACTGCGTTTGAAAGTTAAGGTCACTTTTACTATTTTTAGGATTGTTTTTGTCATTGCTTTATCGACTTCATTCCTACATGGAATTTCATGAAACTCGATACAAGTGTTTTGCCATGACAATACCTTCAACAGAAATATTTTTGCCGTCAAATTGTCGTCGATATTCGCATTATGCTTCGGTCTTTTTACGTCAAAAACACAAAAAGATTTTTTTATGCAAACAAAATAAAAACTGCAGAGTAAAAATATATTATCAATCGAAGAATGCAGTCGCTAGAGAGGATACTGATATATCACTGAATGTTCTATTCATTTCTCATGCATATGTCACATAATGTGTGAATACAAAGGGATTTGTCTCACTTTTGATGCCTTGTTGCATTTAGTTTTCTATTAAACTGATGTTAAATATCCAGATTCTTTGTCTATTTGTAACTTAAATTATTCATTAATTCATTTATTTATTTATAACTTATATAATTATAACCATGATAAAATTTCAGAATATCTTTACAATTAATTATAAATTTAGTAACTATCCACAAAGAAAAATTGACAAAACTACAGGTTATTTGTTTAACCTTTTTTCAAAATTTTGATGTATAAGATAAATCTTCATATACTAAAGGTGACCTCAAACCTACATAGTTGATAAAAGGTCGTAATTAATTTTGCATTTAAATACATATTAGAACCATAATCTTTTGCAAAATTATTTCTCTTGTGAGCAGGTATTGATTGTTACATCATTGGTTTGTGTGAGAAAATTACGTCTTTTTCTCAAAGATTGATGACGTTATTCTCACAAACAAATGACGTAACAATCAATACCTGCTCACAAGAGCAGATAACTCTGCAATACGCAAAGACGGAATATGTGCGTTGCCCACTGCGTTCATCCTGTACTTCCTTATACACCGCCAAAACTAAAGGTAAATTCTTCTATACAGTATATAATGTATGATTAATCACGTGATTATATGGTGGCATATTTTCGTTGTCTTACGACGATATGGCGCAATGTTTTTTAAATCCTGTCGAGATATTATTAAATTTGCCGAGATGATTATCCTGTAATTAGTTAACGTAGTTGTGTTATCAATCTCATGATACAGTCGCAATACGAAACCTTAAGTGCGATACATCGGTGAGCAGTCTTGATAAATACAAGCTTCTCAGTTCATGTACAGAACATGGTACTCTCTTAAAAAAGGTTCGTTAATTACCCTTATTTACTCTACAAGGCGATGTCACACCCGAACATTAACATGACAAAAAGTCGCGTTATCTATTTTTAAATGGGTTTTGATACCACGACAATCGCATGGTTGACACAATACTTCAATGCAAAAGCAATGTTTTCAGTCTCATTCTGTAATAAATACGGTAATAAGTTTCATTTCAACATAATAACCAAAGCACTTTATACGTGTTTACGATTTCTTTAGTCCACGACAGTCGCATGACATTTAGAGACGGGTTCATTTAAAACATTATTGATGAGTTTTTAAGGGATTACTCTTCATGATATTGATCTATAGAATTACCACTTCGTAACAAAGTATAGAGGATTGGTTTTCCATGTTATGGAATAGCTTACCACATTGTATAACGTCATTCTACCAAAATTTGTACACGGACAGAAAATGGTTCCAATAGTACTTAAAAATTACATTGGTGAATTTTCCTCTGATGGTATAAAATAATGGCGTAAAAATAATATATAACCATCAGCATTTTGAAGGGGTTGATTATAGGTATGATTAAATGTTCATCTCTGGTCCTTCTTTACAATTATCGTTCAATATGATATTTATTTAAAGTAATATATTTTGTTGTAATCAACACATCAACGAGTAAAGATAAAAACAAGTTCCATAGCCTGTAATATGGTGTACCAGTTTGGGCACTTATCAATGCCGAAAAAAAAAGATGAAATCTCATTGCGAGTTCGGCGATCTTTTTTAAAAACAAATTACCTAGAATCAAAAGTGGGTTTTTATCTGGAAATGAACCACCGCGTGTAATCAAGAATCATTTCAGAAACCAGATCAGGATTTTTTACAAATATCAAATGCAAAATTGTACCTACGCTGGAAGCAAGATGTTAGTTTGAAGAAATTGAAAAGTAAAAAATTAATTTTCAATTTTACTTGCCATGCTGTACATTCAGCTTCATCAGACAAACGTATATCGCTACATTATAAATGCTAACTACAACAGTAGAAATTAGAAGTTATATTAGAGAAGGAATCATGACGTACAAAGGACTGTATGTGATGCTGGAAAAACAAAACAAAACGAATAACCCGCGTCTAGTCATAGTCATTCCCCCCACAGGCCGTACCACTTAAGTCGATTTCCTATGAGATTTTAAACAAATAACAAACCGATTGTCGCCAGGTTACCACCTTTGATACCGTTTGTTTAATCACGATACAATGCATATACACACATAATGAAAACAAAATATAAACAACGCAACATCTACATAATAACAATATAACACAATTATAAAACAACAAGCATACAAAGATAATAACTATAATTGATAATTCCAACAAACGCAATACAAATGAAATCATGATTGCAAATAAAAGAACCATGTTCTGCATCAGCATGCATCTCTTGGAGCCCTGTGGTGAAACTTGGCCTGTAAGCTTTCAGTACTTATCTTAGACACCATATTATTCGGAATAAGCTTATCAACTGTTATATAGTTACAACAAAAGAAATGAAAAGATAACGATAAGAAAATCGAGTTCAAAAAAGAAAGGAATTGGCGTGGTTTGTGTTGCTTGTTCCGATAAACTTTTGATGAATTTAGCCTCATGAGAAAACAAGAAGACCAAGAACAGAACATTCCACATGGGTAGTTCACCAATAAAATCTCGAAAATAATATATATTATCTCTAGGAATTGAAAAATGAAAGGCCTCATAATCAAAAGGCGTTCCTTCAGGTTGGTATGAGGTATGGTCGGGCAAAGTGAAAATGTCAAATGTATTAATAGACGTAATACATGTTTAGGTAGTGATGTTCAAAATTGATCGCAAGAGGTCTTTGAATAATTTCATTTACTGATATAGGTGCTAAGGTTTTTAAGAAGTTTTCAGATTAGACTGGGTTGTCAACTATTTTTATAATCAAGAAAACAAAGAAAAGTTCCTCTAATTTTTACAAATCAAACATTATTTTTTTTATTCATTTTGCCGTTGTTATTATTAGTAAAACTATTGAATTACAAATGATCTTCTACACCGAAAAAAAAGAAAGAAATTCCATCAGGTCAACGCAAAAAGACACGATCTGGACTCAAAATCAACACGACAAGACAGCAATGAAAACCGAGGAGACATCAAATCACAAAGACAACAATGAAAACTGAGGAGCCATCAAAACACAAAGTCAACAATGAAAACTGAGGAAACATCAAAACACAAAGACAACAATGAAAACTGAGGAAACATCAAAATACAATGAAAGACATTACACAACAAGTTAAACCTGCATTGTATGTGGCACCCGTCGTGATGTCGTCCGTCAAATCCAAAGAAGTATGTAGGTCACCGACGAACTAAGATTGCACTGGAATAGAGCTGATAATAGCTGATAAGATAGGCGAAGACTAGTCTGGTCGTTCTCTGTAGTTTATGTCTACATTTTGACGACCGGTAAGTAGGCACGTTTGATCACGTTCGTGTATCAAACTTTTTTCATAAACTATTTCTATGTTGATAGAAATCCCATCAAATCAGAGTATCACAATAACGATCAATGAAACATTGTTACGCTTCAGCATTTTTGTTTTAATATTTGTTCCAATATCTTTTGCATATCAAAGAATACGTAAACATGTATTTTGATTATGTTTTAGATTTTAAATGATGAGGGAGTTCATCATTATTCTACTGACTTCCCTCGTTCTCCGGCCAGGTAAATGATAATTTAAGAATTTGTCTCGCACTGACGACTTCTTAGACCCTATACATGCGTGTTTCACTAGTCATTTTTTACATACCACTTTATGTTAAAGTCCAACTCAAAGTAAAATATCAACCACCTGGAGTTCATATCGATATAAATGTATTGCGAATGGACATCATGGATTTATGCGTTATGTCTACTTTGACATCATAATTACAGGTGTATTATCAATGACGTCAGATAGTCTTGTGCACTTGAGCTGTAACAACAGAATGAAATCTTGGTAATTTTCATCTTCGAAATAAACAGCTTCCTAAAAGAACTTCTGAAAAGAGAAAAAGCTTACATGGAATTCAAATACTTTTGATTGTATTTTTCATAATGTACCTGTATTACACGTGATATATGTGTGCAAAATAAGATCATTAACACAGCGCAAAACATTAATGTATCTATATTCGTGTCCTCTGGTCGTATTAATATATATTGCAAATGAGATGTATTAGATCCCTATGATGTAAAAATCGTCCATGATGAATTATTTAACTTAAAACGTGCAGAAAACACCTGATAAGCATGTTTAAATGATCGTTCAGCCAGGTTGTGTCGTATCGTATTACTTAGTTAGGAGCATACAATAACATAATGAGTTTCAAAACAGCTGGAAATACTAAGCATGTTAATCACAACTTCTAAGAGATGATTCACTAAACATTACACCGGTGTAGAAATATTAAAAACCCAACATCAGGGGAGACAACTCATATGATAACATCCGTATCAAAATACTTAATTATATCAAAGAATCAATTTACATTCTTTTCTTATCAACGATGTCTGCGTTTGAGAAAACTATCGTTTTAGTTCATACAAAAATATACAGATAATGTGGGGTCATGTTAACATTATTATGTTAATGTGACCGAGTTTTGAAGTGGCCACCATGCATTGAGCTGCTGTCCCTATGGCAACACTTGAATTGGGTTATTTATACATGTATCCTTTCCAGTAAAACCAGTACTTTGTAGGTGCCGCTGGTCCTCTGTGTTTCTCCTGTTCTTCTATGTCACAGGCACACTTCTGTGACGTCACGGAGAGATGTGGCGATCACCAGGTAATAGTTCTCAAATCACATTGTGTTTTTTCTTACCTCCAAGAATAAGGCAGAGGTCGGTGCTGAGCCTTTATTAAGACATGCACGATATATAGGGTTCATGTCAAGGGATCAACCTATTTGTGGAGCTTTTAAAGCTGTTTGCTTGATAAAGATCGTCAGACATTCATTTTAGTTAGCACTTCCGACTCTCTTTACTGCTTAATGTACCAGAACAGCAAATATCAGCCATGTATTAAATCCAGTCATATCTTCCGCTTGTGTAAATTTCACAGTAATGTTCACATATGTTACACACGTTTCAGGTGTGCTACGTGGAGGAAGTCCTAACCAACAGTGGTCACATTAAATACACGTCGGGATGTGTGTATAACCAGGTAACCGATTGTATGTAATATAAAATGAACAAAACAAACATGCCAGCAGTTGATAATGCCGGGGGTTTTGTGTGTGTGCTTTTTAAATGGTTTCTGCAAAATTCGTTATTTTTAAGAGTTGTTTAAAGACATTTTCTGTTTTATTATAAGAACATAATGGATGTATGGAAACAAAAACATGACTCGTACATTACGAAGAAATCTACTTGGTTTTGTTTTATCTGACGGGTTGTTTGTCTACCAGTTACACATGGGTTATCCGTGTTGAACATGTATAGTGAGTGCTGACTTTCAAATCTAAACTCGATTTTATCATGTAACCGTACAATGTAATACATTTTGTTTGTTTAATTTAAGTTACACTTATATATCTATAGCTACTGTCTGAAAGAGATTTGTTTTTGAATACAAAAATATTATTTTACTATTTTTACGAAAAACACCTAAGCTTTGTTTTCATTTTGAAAGTGGGAATGACCATTGCTTCAAAAAGAAGTGATCGATTATCACAAGAAAAATAAACACCTCAAAAAAACGATTACAATTGGGTTGTACATTGTATATTGTCACACACTGTAAAGAAATATAATTCACTGTACAGATTTGATTTTAATTAAGATACTTAAAAAGACTGAACAACTTAATTTACTGTTTTCAACCCCGCAGAATCTTTTTCATTATGTCATGCATATATTGACCGTCATAGCACATTGAAATACAATTCACGAAAACGTGGTTAAATCTATCTCTTTAGGTGTGCCTTGTACGTTATGTTTATATATCTTCCATTGTTGTTTTTGTTTTACCTTGAGGCAATGTCCTGTAAGGATAGGATTGATATGTTAATAACAAAATGGCATGGCAAATAACCTACTATTGTTTTTTAATGAAGAGAACTATATAAATCAACTTCGTTATAATTGTGTGTGTTAATGTTACATTGCCATGGTAACGCGACCATAATATACTTTATATCACAGTAACATCATAGTATCCATTACATCAATACAGTCAAACTGTTAGATGTTTTAAGACTTGTCTCTTAGTGTGTGTGACCTTTGACCTTTCTATTACAGACGTGTACCAAGAGTGTCATTTCTGATCACACTGCTCATGGGCAGGTCACGTGTCTCGACTGTTGTCAAGGCGACATGTGTAACAACAAAGGGTGTGGTGACACGGGTATGTCGTATAGTAAACATTAGTTCAAACTTTATTTTATTAGAGGTATAATATAACAATGCAAAGATGATATACACATAGGATTCGAAAACAAGTACAAAGTACTTATGCTAATCCATCTCCTTTGTTTGTAAAACGGCGATTGGACTGCACTGACGATCGAATATTATGCATATAAATATAAATATATGGAAGAGAAGAGGATGGGGGAGGAAGAAGAGAGAAAGAGGTGCTAAAGGGTTTAAAGAAAATATTGTTGGGGGGAAATATATAGGGGAGTACATTACATTTACTGCATTATGGGAGGATAAACTGGTTGGAGTACATTTTGGATATATACACGTGTCGAGGACTGTACATGTCACTGATGTATTAAACACACAATGAATTAATTGCATATAATATTAAACTTTGTTCATGTCATTCTTTGGACCGACTAACCTCCTAATGTTGTAACAATATATACTATGGACATTCAAAATATCTCTACTACTTTGTTTCTAACTGAAAAGGCATCATATGACATAGTTGCTGCTCCCTCCATGAACCGACTCCTAGCGGGTATATATATATTGTAGAACGTATGTACTGGACTGTTTATCATAAGCTATACCAGCACTAGACTAAATATAAATGTAAATGAGGTCAAGGTCCTTGTTCAAGTCATTCGATTCATATCACCAATATGGATATTTCTTATTTATGCATATATCTATTATACTAAAATTAGACCATAACTATCCATAATTTTAAAAAAAAAATGTCAAAAACATTTCGTTATCATTGAAATTCCTGACATGTGAGGCGTTTCATTTTTATGATGATTCACTTATAACCAGGACCCATGGTAAGACCATACCGAGGCCCGTACTGTTTCCAGTGTGAACACCAGTCTCACCCCAGTGAGTGTGAACAACTCAACATATGTGATGTGGACCAGGTAAACACAAAGTACTTACTACCAGTGTACAGTAAATCCCCGTATAATGTTTCCGCTTCAACTGTCATTTGCTTAAGTTTTGTAAAAAAAAAAATAGTGGAAGTATAACGAGATTTTATTGTACAAATGAAATGAGTTATCGAAATCAAACCGTGAATTGTGAATGTTTCAATGCATTATCATTATGTAAAAATGAAGAATGCATGTTCAGGGAGTGGACAAGTTATCAAGATGTATTAGATACGTGTTATGGCATAGTAAACAATAAATGGCTGCATGTGTTTTGTGAATGTAAATTATAAACTGCTTGATCAATTTTTGATGATTCAGTGAAAAGCTCAAACCTGACATCTGTAAACATTAACCTGAACATCTGTAAACATTAACCTGAACATCTGTAAACATTAACCTGAACATCTGTAAACATTAACCTGAACATCTGTAAACATTAACCTGAACATCTGTAAACATTAACCTGAACATCTGTAAACATTAACCTGAACATCTGTAAACATTAACCTGAACATCTGTAAACATTAACCTGAACATCTGTAAACATTAACCTGAACATCTGTAAACATTAACCTGAACATCTGTAAACATTAACCTGAACATCTGTAAACAAGAACCTGAACATCTTTACACCTTAACCTGACATCTGTAAACATTAACCTGACCATCTGTAAACATACACCTGAACATCTGTAAACATTAACCTGAACATCTGTAAACATTAACCTGAACATCTGTAAACATTAACCTGAACATCTGTAAACATTAACCTGAACATCTGTAAACATTAACCTGAACATCTGTAAACAAGAACCTGAACATCTTTACACCTTAACCTGACATCTGTAAACATTAACCTGACCATCTGTAAACATTAACCTGAACATCTGTAAATTTTAACCTAAGCATCTGTAAACATTAACATGAACATCTGTAATCATTAACCTGAACATCTGTAAACATTAACCTGAACATTTGAAAACATTTACCTGAACATCTGTAAACTTTAACCTGAACATCTGTAAACATTAACCTGAATATCTGTAAACATTAATCTGAACATCTGTAAACATTAACCTGAAATGTGAAACATTTACCTGAATATCTTTAAGCATTAACCTGAACATCTGTAAACATTAACCTGGACATCTGTACACATTAACATGAACATCTGTAATCATTAACCTGAACATCTGTAACCTGAACATCTCTAAATATTAACCTGAACATCTTTAAACATTAACCTGAATATAATATAAACATTAACCTGAGCATCTGTAAACATTAACGTGAGTATCTGTAAAAATTAACCTGGATATAATGTAAACATTAACCTGAACATTTGAAAACATTTACCTGAACATCTGTAAACTTTAACCTGAACATCTGTAAACAAGAACCTGAACATCTTTACACCTTAACCTGACATCTGTAAACATTAACCTGGACATCTGTACACATTAACATGAACATCTGTAAACATACACCTGAACATCTTTAAACATTAACCTGAATATAATATAAACATTAACCTGAGCATCTGTAAACATTAACGTGAGTATCTGTAAAAATTAACCTGAATATAATGTAAACATTAACCTGAACATCTGTAAACATTAACCTAAACATCTGTAAACATTAACCTGAACATCTTTAAACATTAACCTGAACATCTATTAACATTAACCTAAACATCTGTAAACATAAACCTGAATATCTGTAAACATTAACCTAAACATCTGTAAAAATTAACCTGAACATCTGTAAACATTAACCTGAATATCTGTAAACATTAACCTGAATATCTGTAAACATTAACATGAACATCTGTAAACATTAACCTGAATATCTGTAAACATTAACCTGAATATCTGTAAACATTAACCTGAATATCTGTAAACATTAACCTGAACATCTTTACACATTAACCTGCATATCTGTAAACATTAACATGAACATCTGTAAACATACACCTGAACATCTTTAAACATTAACCTGAATATAATATAAACATTAACCTTAGCATCTGTAAACATTAACCTGAGTATCAGTAAAAATTAACCTGAATATAATGTAAACATTAACCTGAACATCTGTAAACATTACTGAACATCTGTAAACATTAACCTAAACATCTGTAAAAATTAACCTGAACATCTGTAAACATTAACCTGAATATCTGTAAACATTAACCTGAACATCTTTACACATTAACCTGCATATCTGTAAACATTAACATGAACATCTGTAAACATTAACCTGAATATCTGTAAACATTAACCTGAATATCTGTAAACATTAACCTGAATATCTGTAAACATTAACATGAACATCTGTAAACATACACCTGAACATCTTTAAACATTAACCTGAATATAATATAAACATTAACCTGAGCATCTGTAAACATTAACCTGAGTATCAGTAAAAATTAACCTGAATATAATGTAAACATTAACCTGAACATCTGTAAACATTAACCTGAACATCTGTAAACATTAACCTGAACATCTTTAAACATTAACCTGAACATCTATTAACATTAACCTAAAAATCTGTAAACATAAACCTGAATATCTGTAAACATTAACCTAAATATCTATAAACAGTAACCTGAACATCTGTAAACATAAACCTGAATATCTGTAAACATTAACCCGAATATCTGGAAACATTAACCTAAACATCTTTAAACATTATCCTGAACATCTGTAAACAAGAACCTGAACATCTTTACACCTTAACCTGACATCTGTAAACATTAACACGAATATCTGTAAACATTACCCTGAACATCTGTAAACATAAACCTGAATATCTGTAAACATACACCTGAACATCTTTAAACCTTAACCTGAACATCTGTAAACATTAACCTGAATATCTGTAAACATACACCTGAACATCTGTAAACATTAACCCGAATATCTGTAAACATTAACCTAAACATCTTTAAACATTAACCTGAACATCTGTAAACATTAACCTGAATATCCGTAAACATACACCTGAACATCTGTAACCATTAACCTGAATATCTGTAAACATGCACCTGAACATCTGTAAACATTAACACGAATATCTGTAAACATTAACCTAATCATCTTTAAACATTAACCTGAACATCTGTAAACATTAACCTGAATATCTGTTAACATTAACCTGAACATCTTTAAACATTAACCTGAACATCTGTAAACATTAACCTGAACATCTGTAACCTGAACATCTGTAAATATTAACCTGAACATCTTTAAACATTAACCTGAACATCTGTAAACATTAACCTGAACATCTGTAAACATTAACCTGGACATCTGTAAACATTAACCTGAACATCTGTAAACATAAACCTGAACATCTGTAAACATTAACCTGAATATCTGTAAACATACACCTGAACATCTGTAAACATTAACCAAAATATCTGTAAACATTAACCTGAACATCTGTAAAAATTAACCTGAACATCTGTAAACATTAATCTGAACATTTGTAAACATTAACCTGAACATCTGTAAACATTAACCTGAATATCTATAAGCATTAACCTGAAAATCTGTAAACATTAAACTGGACATCTGTAAACGTTAACCTGAATAACTGTAAAAATTAACCTGAACATTTGTAAACATTAACCTGAACATCTGGAAACAGTAACCTGAACATCTGTAAACATTAAACTGGACATCTGTAAACGTTAACCTGAATAACTGTAAACATTAACCTGAACATCTGTAAACAGTAACCTGAACATCTGTAAATTCTAACCTAAACATCTGTAAACATTAACCTGAATATCTATTAACATTAACTTGAACATGAACATCTGTAAACATTAACCTGAACATCTGTAAACATTAACCTGAATATCTGTAAACATTAACCTGAACATCTGTAAACATTAACCTGAATATCTGTAAACATTAACCTGAAATGTGAAACATTAACCTGAATATCTATAAGCATTAACCTGAACATCTGTAAACATTAAACTGGACATCTGTAAACGTTAACCTGAATAACTGTAAACATTAACATGAACATCTGTAAACAGTAACCTGAACATCTGTAAACATTAACCTGAACATCTGTAAACATTAACCTGAACATCTGTAAACAGTTACCTGAACATCTGTAAACATTAACCTATCATTGCAATACAAAGTGACAATGGACAGTCATGGTTCGTTCTAGAGTAGCATCAGATATTTAATTTTATTAACTGACAATTTTAGGTGTTTAAAGGTCCCATTTCCATCATATAAACAATTCTAATTAATAGTTATGTTGAATTGTTTTACAATGCCCCATAAACAGCTTTTCCTTTCTAGGTTCTACAAGGAACTCGATCCCCAAATGGTCAATCCTTTTTTACATCGATATTATGGGGTTCTATCCACGGATCATGCTCTCGGCAAATACATGTTTCATAGTATAAACGTTCGAAACACAGAAATGAATTTAATGTGTGTCTCAAGGTTGCACCTATAAATATTTCACACTAGAAAAACAGTGCAATTCGCATGCTCATTAAGATAATGTCTTACATAATCCACGACAAAGTGTTTATTCGATTAAGCAATGTTACTGAATATAGAGTAGAGGATTAGGAACGCATTGATGTGAACTGATATTTCCAATCTAAACAAAATTATTGCCGGTTTGTTTTTAACTCGAACAGTGATGGCGTCAACTAAATGTTATTCGTTATTCTCTTAGGCCTCAAATGATAGTGACCTCTTCACTACTTTAGCTACATTTGATTGCTTCCGCGTAAAATAAAGTCCGTCCTTAGAAAGATTACAACGTATTTCACAGTGTAGATTATATTTTATCTACAAAAATCAAATATCTAACAACATCAAAATTATACATATAGCGACAAAACAATATTTATAATGCAAATTGGGAATTTCAAGCAGTAAACACGCGGATACATCGCAGTGTAAAAATTCCGCGTTCTAGACAAGACACTAGACAACATCAACACTATAAATCAATGAAAATAGCATTATCGGTATTTCCTTAAACGGATATCATTGATGTGATTTGTATATTATAAATCTCTGGGTGCATTTGGGTCTTCTGAACATTGGTTAAATTATTTGTATATTACCAAATGAACATGAAATGTTGGAGTATTGGTCATCCCTTTTTATTATTCAATGAAAAATGAGATATTGAAGTATTTGTACTCACTTTGTCTTTAGATGTGTGGTATACAGGAACACTTCGATGGGTTTGGTAGACAGTACACCAGTGGCTGTAGAGGGAAGCTGGTGAGTAAAGCCCCTCACGTTATACCCACATGGTAGTCCGGACATACTGTGTACTATAACTGTCGAATTGTTATCACCTTTAGTAATGAAATTGTTTGTGGGACATCTAGAATAGTAAGCTCTTGGAACAACTCGGGTGGAACTTAATACAAAACCAGGCAAAACGCTGATGATATTCCTGAGTTTCAATCAAGGTCACGAATGAAGGGGATAATAAACCAATTGACCTGCAATTGTCAGTAATACTTAATAACACTGCGGGGAAGTTAAACATTTACGTCAAACTTTAACTCCTTTTCTCACAAAAACCTTTTGGGTTTCCGACCATATCATAAAAGAGAACGAGAAAAAAAAACAGTCCTTAGAGATAGCTTACATACCAGTAGCTACAGTCCTTAGATATAGCTTACATACCAGTAGCTACAGTCCTTAGATATAGCTTACATACCAGTAGCTACAGTCTTAAGAGATAGCTTACATACCAGTAGCTACAGTCCTTAGACATAGCTTACATACCAGTACCTACAGTCTTAAGAGATAGCTTACATACCAGTAGCTACAGTCCTTAGAGATTGCTTACATACCAGTAGCTACAGTCCTTAGAGATAGCTTACATAACAGTAGCTACAGTCCTTAGAGATAGCTTACATACCAGTAGATACAGTCCCTTAGAGAAAGGTTACATACCAGTACCTACAGTCCTAAGAGATAGCTTACATAACAGTACCTACAGTCCCTTTGCGATAGCTTACATACCAGTAGCTACAGTATTAAGAGATAGCTTACATAACAGTACCTACAGTCCCTTTGCGATACCTTACATACCAGTAGATACAGTCTCTTAGAGAAAGGTTACATACCAGTACCTACAGTTTAAGAGATAGCTTACATACCAGTACCTACAGCCTTAAGAGATAGCTTACATACCAGTAGCTACAGTATTAAGAGATAGCTTACATACCAGTAGCTACAGTCCCTTAGAAATAGCTTACATACCAGTAGTTACAGTCCTTAGAGACAGCTTACATACCAGTACCTACAGTCCTAAGAGATAGCTTACATAACAGTACCTACAGTCCCTTTGCGATAGCTTACATACCAGTAGCTACAGTATTCAGAGATAGCTTACATACCAGTACCTACAGTCTTAAGAGATAGCTTACATACCAGTACCTACAGCCTTAAGAGATAGCTGACATCCCAGTAGCTACAGTATTAAGAGATAGCTTACATACCAGTACCTACAGTCCTAAGAGATAGCTTACATACCAGTCCCTACAGTCCTTAGAGACAGCTTACATACCAGTAGCTACAGTCCTTAGAGACAGCTTACATACCAGTACCTACAGTCCTAAGAGATAGCTTACATACCAGTACCTACAGTCCTTAGAGACAGCTTACATACCAGTAGCTACAGTCCCTTAGTCATAGCTTACATACCAGTACCTACAGTCCTTAGAGATAGCTTACATACCAGTAGCTACAGTCCCTTAGAAATAGCTTACATACCAGTAGCTACAGTCCCTTAGAAATAGCTTACATACCAGTAGCTACAGTCCTTAGAGACAGCTTACATACCAGTAGCTACAGTCCCTTAGAGATAGCTTACATACCAGTACCTACAGTCCTTAGAGATAGCTTACATACCAGTAGCTACAGTCCTTAGAGAAAGTTTACATACCAGTACCTACAGCTTAAGAGATAGCTTACATACCAGTACCTACAGTCCTTAGAGATAGCTTACATACCAGTAGCTACAGTCCCTTAGAGATAGCTTACATACCAGTAGCTACAGTCCTTAGAGAAAGCTTACATACCAGTACCTACAGTCTTAAGAGATAGCTTACATACCAGTACCTACAGTCCTTAGAGATAGCTTACATACCAGTAGCTACAGTCCTTAGAGATAGCTTACATACCAGTAGCTACAGTCCTTAGAGAAAGCTTACATACCAGTACCTACAGTCTTAAGAGATAGCTTACATACCAGTACCTACAGTCCTTAGAGATAGCTTACATACCAGTAGCTACAGTCCTTAGAGATAGCTTACATACCAGTAGCTACAGTCCTTAGAGAAAGCTTACATACCAGTACCTACAGTCTTAAGAGATAGCTTACATACCAGTACCTACAGTCCTTAGAGATAGCTTACATACCAGTAGCTACAGTCCTTAGAGATAGCTTACATACCAGTAGCTACAGTCCTTAGAGAAAGCTTACATACCAGTACCTACAGTCTTAAGAGATAGCTTACATACCAGTACCTACAGTCCTTAGAGATAGCTTACATACCAGTAGCTACAGTCCCTTAGAAATAGCTTACATACCAGTAGCTACAGTCCTTAGAGACAGCTTACATACCAGTAGCTACAGTCCTTAGAGAAAGCTTACATACCAGTACCTACAGTCTTAAGAGATAGCTTACATACCAGTACCTACAGTCCTTAGAGATAGCTTACATACCAGTAGCTACAGTCCTTAGAGAAAGCTTACATACCAGTACCTACAGTCCCTTAGAGATAGCTTACATACCAGTAGCTACAGACCTTTTGCGATAGCCTACATACAAGTAGCTACAGTCCCTTAGTGATAGCTTACATACCAGTAGCTACAGTCCTTAGAGAAAGTTTACATACCAGTACCTACAGTTTAAGAGATAGCTTACATACCAGTACCTACAGTCCTTAGAGAAAGCTTACATACCAGTAGCTACAGTCCCTTAGAGATAGCTTACATACCAGTAGCTACAGTCCCTTAGAGATAGCTTACATACCAGTAGCTACAGTCCCTTAGAGAAAGCTTACATACCAGTAGCTACAGTCCTTAGAGATAGCTTACATACCAGTACCTACAGTCCTTAGAGAAAGCTTACATACCAGTAGCTACAGTCCCTTAGAGATAGCCTACATACAAGTAGCTACAGTCCCTTAGAAATAGCTTACATACCAGTAGCTACAGTCCTTAGAGAAAGTTTACATACCAGTACCTACAGTTTAAGAGATAGCTTACATACCAGTACCTACAGTCCTTAGAGAAAGCTTACATACCAGTAGCTACAGTCCCTTAGAGATAGCCTACATACAAGTAGCTACAGTCCCTTAGAAATAGCTTACATACCAGTAGCTACAGTCCTTAGAGAAAGTTTACATACCAGTACCTACAGTTTAAGAGATAGCTTACATACCAGTACCTACAGTCCTTAGAGAAAGCTTACATACCAGTAGCTACAGTCCCTTAGAGATAGCTTACATACCAGTAGCTACAGTCCCTTAGAGATAGCTTACATACCAGTACCTACAGTTTAAGAGAAAGCTTACATACCAGTAGCTACAGTCCTTAGAGAAAGCTTACATACCAGTACCTACAGTTTAAGAGATCGCTTACATACCAGTACCTACAGTTTAAGAGAAAGCTTACATACCAGTAGCTACAGTCCTTAGAGAAAGCTTACATACCAGTAGCTACAGTCCTTAGAGACAGCTTACATACCAGTAGCTACAGTCCTTAGAGAAAGCTTACATACCAGTAGCTACAGTCCTTAGAGATTGCTTACATACCAGTAGCTACAGTCCTTAGAGATAGCTTACATACCAGTAGCTACAGTCTTAAGAGATAGCTTACATACCAGTAGCTACAGTCCTTAGAGAATGCTTACATACCAGTACCTACAATCTTAAGAGATAGCTTACATACCAGTAGCTACATTCCTTAGAGAAAGCTTACATACCAGTAGCTACAGTCATTAGAGAAAGCTTACATACCAGTAGCTACATTCCTTAGAGATAGCTTACATACCAGTACCTACAATCTTAAGAGATAGCTTACATACCAGTAGCTACAGTTTAAGAGAATGCTTACATACCAGTACCTACAATCTTAAGCGATAGCTTACATACCAGTAGCTACATTCCTTAGAGAAAGCTTACATACCAGTACCTACAGTTTAAGAGATAGCTTATAATTACATACCAGTAGCTACAGTCCTTAGAGACAGCTTACATACCAGTAGCTACAGTCTTAAGAGATAGCTTACATACCAGTAGCTACAGTCCTTAGAGAATGCTTACATACCAGTACCTACAATCGTAAGAGAAAGCTTACATACCAGTAGCTACAGTCCCTTAGAGACAGCTTACATACCAGTAGCTACAGTCCTTAGAGATAGCTTACATACCAGTAGCTACAGTCCTTAGAGAAAGCTTACATACCAGTAGCTACAGTCCTTAGAGAAAGCTTACATACCAGTTCCTACAGTCCTTAGAGACAGCTTACATACCAGTAGCTACAGTCTTAACAGAAAGCTTACATACCAGTACCTACAGTTTAAGAGATAGCTTACATACCAGTAGCTACAGTCCCTTAGAGACAGCTTACATACCAGTAGCTACAGTCCTTATCGTAAGCTTACATACCAGTAGCTACAGTCTTAAGAGATAGCTTACATACCAGTAGATACAGTACCTTTGAATCGACTAGGTTAAAGACATTCAAGGGGAAAGGGGCAGCAACAGGAATAAAAAAAAAACATGAAAAGGTACCGGTATGGTTACCATACCATACATCAAAAGGCAAGTAGGAAACGGACTGTACAAGGACAAAGCCAATGTAGTAAGGGAACAAGATATACCATTCATATCTAGACAAAATATTTTTATTTTTATTATTATTACAAGTGATTAATGCATACAAATATGACATTAATACATGCAAATATACAAATAAGACATTAATATATACAGATATTACATTAATACAAAGAAAAACGACATTGATACATGAAAATGTGAATTAATTACACAGTGCATTCGCATGTATTAGAGGCTCACAGACAGAAACCATGACTGTGGTATGATACCTTAACACAGACGAGATGAACACCAGTCACCAGAACACCTATCAATCCGAAGGTAAAGTGATTTTAACCCAACGAAGACGACTTCACGTCTCCACGTAGGTTTTGGTACTCACGTAGGTTTTGGTACGTTTTGGTACTCACGTAGGTTTTGGTACTCACGTAGGTTTTGGTACGTTTTGGTACTCACGTAGGTTTTGGTACTCACGTAGGTTTTGGTACTCACGCAGGTTTTGGTTTTGGTACGTTTTGGTACTCACGTAGGTTTTGGTACTCACGTAGGTTTTGGTACTCACGTACGTTTTGGTACTCACGTAGGTTTTGGTACTCACGTAGGTTTTGGTACTCACGTAGGTTTTGGTACTCACGTAGGTTTTGGTACTCACGTAGGTTTTGGTACTCACGTAGGTTTTGGTACTCACGTAGGTTTTGGTACTCACGTAGGTTTTGGTACTCACGTAGGTTTTGGTACTCACGTAGGTTTTGGTACTCACGTAGGTTTTGGTACTCACGTAGGTTTTGGTACTCACGTAGGTTTTGGTACTCACGTAGGTTTTGGTACTCACGTAGGTTTTGGTACTCACGTAGGTTTTGGTACTCACGTAGGTTTTGGTACTCACGTAGGTTTTGGTACTCACGTAGGTTTTGGTACTCACGTAGGTTTTGGTACTCACGTAGGTTTTGGTACTCACGTAGGTTTTGGTACTCACGTAGGTTTTGGTACTCACGTAGGTTTTGGTACTCACGTAGGTTTTGGTACTCACGTAGGTTTTGGTACTCACGTAGGTTTTGGTACTCACGTAGGTTTTGGTACTCACGTAGGTTTTGGTACTCACGTAGGTTTTGGTACTCACGTAGGTTTTGGTACTCACGTAGGTTTTGGTACTCACGTAGGTTTTGGTACTCACGTAGGTTTTGGTACTCACGTAGGTTTTGGTACTCACGTAGGTTTTGGTACTCACGTAGGTTTTGGTACGTTTTGGTACTCACGTAGGTTTTGGTACGTTTTGGTACTCACGTAGGTTTTGGTACTCACGTAGGTTTTGGTACTCACGTTGGTTTTGGTACTCTTGTGTATCTATAAAAGTATACATGTACCCAAAGATATCTTCGTGGAGGCTCAACCTTCAAATGATGAACCATTAGCTTTTCTCAAGCAGTGCATACCTTTTTACTCAAATTTTACGCACGCTTGGCAAAGATGTCTTTAAATACAATCATAGCATCTGAACGCATATCACACATTAGACATTGATACATTCCAAACTTTGAATCTTATTTTGGAAGAGTGTTCTTATTTGTGATTGGGCATTACTTACTTTAACTGAAGTGTTTCTTGCCTCCTTCCAGATACAAACTGACCATGTTATTTTAAGTGGATTTTAACTTCAAGATTGTCACCATATGTTATCATTGGTTAAGGCACTCATCAACTAGTTTCAAGATTAAAGTATCTTTCCTTAATACAAGACGATTGTCATAATTTCTGACGATATGTGGTTGATATCTTCCTCATTTTCCCTCTGATTATTGTTTATTTTCTGGAGACGTGATTTATAAGCCCAAGCTGTAAGCCATCTACAACATTTCTAGTTTTTCTATAGAATTTGAAATAAGCAGGGTATCAATATTTTTGAGTTCGTTATATTGATGGTTGATTGACGTGTTGTTGCCGCCCTAGGAATGTCAAACCCACACCCACATGCTGGTTGGGAGGGACGTGCGTTTCACTGACAAGCGTGTTGACAGGTGCAACATTTGCTGTGATGACGACTTCTGCAACTACGCATGCTCTCAGAACCATTCCACATCCGGTTCGACTGCACCCACAAAGGCACCTAGTAAAGTATTACAGTGAAAATTACAAAAATAAATGTATAGCAGCTGGATGTTATTATTTACTGATTTCAGATAACGTTATAACATATTGTTTTGTATGATATACCTTTCTTTTTCCCTTATATCTTTATGAGCGATGTATGTTTCATTTGCCAAATGAACATAGACACAATAACTAGTGTATCCCTCACGAAAAGTGTTTCTGATTAATGTGCGGTAGATTCTCGTACTTGCCACCTTGAATAATATCGCCGCCACATCTTCAAGTCGTAAACCACGACCTCGCAAATAATGCACGTAAACTTTTCTATTGTTCTTAGTTTTACAACATATAACAGCACCCATCACGCCTGCCCCGGGGCCAACCTTTGGACCGTGGGGGGAATGGCAGCCTTGTACTCGTACCTGTGGGAGAGGCTGGCAGGAACGTTACCGGAAGTGTGATGACGTCATGAATGGTCTGCTGAGTAGCGCATCCTGTTCCAGATCGGGAGTGGACACGCGGGAGTGCTTCAATGACGTATGTGAAGGTACAGTTTTGAATCTCTCCTCACAATATGATATTGTCCAATCAAATTGATCGATAAACATGGAAAACAATTCAGCAATGGAAATAGATAATTTCGCTCGATCTACAATAAGTTGGTCATGTATATGCCGCGTGAATTGTTGAGCTGTGTTATACATGTACTTTTAGCCAATTAAAATGATAAACCATCAATCATCATGAATCCAATCTCGTGAAGTCATGCATACAATCGTCTCGATGTGAAGCGTGTACATGATACTTTAGAAAGTAATCGCTCATTTATGCAAATAATAACCAATCGTCACCTGTTTAGTTATTCTCTACATGCATACATGTCTGTATATCTCAATTTGTCCCTAAATGAGCTTAGCTGTTAAAAGGACGTTACACATAATAAAACCCAACCAAAACAATTTGTCCCAATGATACTACATTTTTTGCAGGGCAGACTCGAGATAAATATTCTAATGTGACTGATATGAAAACATTGTTCTGTACATTTGTTTTTTGTCGAAAATACTTTTTAATGTCTACGTGAAATTGGTTAAAGCATAAGATCTGAAAGTTAAAAATACCTGTTCAAATAATAGTTGACCATTTCCCTGGTTAATTATGTATTTAGTTTTACGATAAAGTTTCTTTTTGTGTATGAAGTTTCGTAAGGGTTCGTTACTATTGTTGTCAGGCCCGACGTGACTTTACCATTACTGGACCGTTAAGTATTCAACTAACTTCACAACTACCCATATTTCAGACTGTAACGCCCTCTACAGTATCGGCTATAACGTATCCGGGAACTATACTATCTATCCCGACCAGACTTCCGGATATGACGTGTACTGTGAAATGCAGCCGGGGAGCGGGGGCTGGATCGTCCTCCAGCACCGGTTTGATGGTTCGGAGATGTTCAACAGGTCATTTGTCGAGTACGAGCATGGATTCGGCGATCTGAACGGGGAGTTCTGGTTGGGCCTAGAGAAAATATCAAAACTGACCAACCCAGGACGTAAAGTCGAATTTCGTCTACAGACATATAACGGTACATGGATGACCCTAGATTACGGGAATTTTTCAGTCGCCAATGCTAGCCAACAGTACGCTTTGAACGTGTCCCAACATATCTCCGGATTTTCGCCGGAAACGTTCGAATACAATTCCGGGGAGAAATTTTACACGTATGACCGCGATAACATTGATCATTGCGCTGTTCGAAGGTTTGCCGGTTGGTGGTTTGGCTCATGTACGTATCTAAACATCAATGGAGAATACGGACTCCGAGACGACGAATCCGGAATCATTGAACACTTCAATAACCTGCATTATCATAACTTCCAAACAACTCTAATGATGATACAGTGATCTGTGTTGTTTTGGGCCCATCACATGAGACCTTTGGTACCCGAAAGTAATGACATCGAAATACAGACTGCAACTGTAAAACAACCGTACCTGTCAGCAAAGTAGTATGTACGATTTAACGAATAGTTGAATGTCCGAAAAGGTGATCAAATTAAAGTATTGTGGACATCATTTATAAAACTTTCCCTTTTTTGTTTTATGTTTGTTATTTTGGTCACGGGGTTATCTTATTCCAACGTTTTGACGCAATCTGTGTGTCGCTTTTCAGAGGTCCACTCTTTACCCAACACACTTGGTGTGAAGAATTGCGCCGAAATCGTCCTTATTATACAATAGATATCTTGAAACAAGAAATTAACATCTCAAACCTAGTTATGATGTCGGTGATGTTGTTACTGTTGAGTTGTGATACGTGTACCAGTTATATGAAAATCATTTGTTGTTGTAAAAATGCAAATCCTATAAGTTGTAAAACTTACGGAAATAAATTGAATTGAATTGATCTCGCGAATGTTTGTTTGAATAGGGAATAGTGAGTGTTACACTGACTGTTAGTGATTCGATTACAGGTCTGTTGCCCCGGGCAACTCACAGGTGGGCTGTTAAGTACGTCGTTAAATAGCCTCTCTCCATTGCGATGCATGCACTACCGAAATTAATGTACATGACCTGTTTTCCATTAAACCGGGAGAGTGTTATATATCTGGGATAGGTTGGTCGCTATTGTCTAGATAGCTCAATGTGGTTGCGAGACCAATTCAGAATGTGTGTATAGAGTTTAGATGTTCCGGGTTCGAGTCCCGACCTGACCGTTAGTATCTCCGGGGGATCCCGTCCTATTCTGAATTGGCCCCGTTGGGAAGCTGTATTAGCGTTAAGTGCGCATGTAAATGGAAAACCTGAACCTGGTCTAAAACGGTAGAGCTTTCAACACGGACTAAACCTTTCTAAACTTAGGCGGAAATAGCATAGCAGATATGAATTGAGTCGGTCTGATTTCATTTTGGCGAGATTTCTTTTTCATATTTATTTATTGTCATGGAAGTAGAGATAAGACACGCTTAATCAGATGGTCAGAGAACGTTTCTCGGGTTCAAAGCTTCTTGGTCCGATCACGGTTTTATTCGTTGCATTATTTTGTCCTTCAACACACATAATTATTCAGTGGAAAAACAAATGAAGGGCATTGATTGTTACTTCATATCATACATTTATGCCACAGATATTTTATATGTGTATTTTGTCCTGGCTAGTTGAGTATTTTCCATTTTACAGGGTTTTTTATGTGATATGTCGAACTGACTCATCATTATTCCTTGTTATTCAGAAAACAAAGAAAACAGCTCCTTTACTCATATGACAAAGTGCCATTTTCGATTCATTAATCAACACGTGTAGAATTGATGATATATCAACCAGTCATATCTAAATGAAAGTATGGTTAACTTGAAAAATAAAAAGCATAGAGAAAAATGCCTGCATGATCGTGTGACGCAACCAACGTGTGACTTCTGGAAAGGCGTGTTTATAAAAATATACAAACATGGTCAAATACATGCAATATACAACAGGACGTTACTCATTGCTGATGTTGCGGTAGCGTCCGATCATCCACCAATCGTCTGTAAGATTCATTTACCAAATAACACTACAAAAATACTGCGTAATGTCTGTTAATCTAAGATGTCTACGCGTTTTGTTATGTACGCGATATGTGGATGGATAGTCCCATGTTTGACATTTTCTTCTGACGGAACGATTCCATATAATTGATACTGAACTTCGGAGTTAAAAATGCACAGACAAAGCGGTCCTAGCCCACAGGTATTGGTGAACAAATGAGAACAGACCTATGATACATATAGGAAACACAAACCGCGAAAGGTATCGTCTGGAACGTGCATCTTCAAGTAAATGACAAGTAAATTGATTTTGAAGAATTTGTTTTTTTTTGTTTTTTTTAAATGTCCGGTAAAAACAAGATAGAAATCCTCCAAAAGTTCATGCATTCCATTTGTAACATGTGTCATAAAACATGGGAAGGAGCACTTGCTTATGAGACCTTGAGAAAGAGAAATAACCAAACCAGTTCATCATTTCTGTTCTTTGTTTCATATAAATGAACGACGCCGACTACATTTATTCCTGTTATCTTGGTCTTTTTAACCAAAATGAGTTAAACTATATACCATTTTGCTTTAAATGCGCAGAGTTCCCATCTCACTTTTGGTGTCATACTATGTTTACCCTGCACATTATTATTTCCTCTTTAACCCGAGGTATTGTAATCATACAATGTTATCAATATAGCGACAAATGGCAATTGACAGTCAATATGGAAAAAACAAAAATTGTTGTATTTCGTAATGGCGGAAGATTACGAGATGGCGATTTTTTTTTTACTTTAATGGCAATGAAATAGAAATTGTTGATAGATTTAATTACCTTGGTGTACTGCTCAGCTTTAATGGTAAGTTTACAAAAACTCAAGTTACTATTGCTGAACAAGGTAGCAAATGTATGTATAATGCGATAAGAATTTGTAACAATTTGTCCCTCAATGTAGAATCTAAACTTAATGTTTTTGATGTCTATGTTTCCTCCACTCTTAATTACGGTTGCGAAACATGGGGTTTCAACATTGCGGACAAAGTAGAAAAAGTGCATGTTGATTTTTTAAAAAGGTTCTGAATGTAAAAAACAGTACGCCATCTTTTATGGTATATTCGGAATTAGGACGTCTGCCTTTGCATATAATCAGGAAGTGTCCAATAATCAAATATTGGTTGAAACTAATTAAATGCGACAATTGTGTTCTTAAGTCAGTTTATGAAGATATGGATGAATGTAATCACAGAAACTGTAATTGGCGCTGTCAAGTTAGAAAATTATTATTGTCTTCTGGTTTTGGTAATGTCTGGTTAACCCATTATGTTGATAATGAAAGGTTTTTTTACATTGTTTCAAGCAGCGTTTGACAGATGTTTTTATTCAAACAAGGAATGAATTTGCTGAAAGATCATCCAAATGTTATTTGTATAAATTCCTGATAGATAACTTTACGTTACAATTTTATCTAACAAAGTCTATTCCAGATGCGTATCTTACACTTATTTCGAAATTACGACTTTCATCGCATCAGTTATACGTAGAAGAAGGTCGGTATCGTAATATTCCGAGGGCGAATAGGTTATGCCGTTATTGTAATCAAAACCAGGTAGAGGACGAGTTCCATTTTGTTCTGATTTGTCCACTCTATGTTGATATTCGTAAAAAGTTCATTAAAAAATATTTCTGGAGCCGACCATCTTCATAGAAATTTGTCCAGCTGCTATCTGTACATAACAGAAATTTAGGAAAATATCTGCGATCAAGTTGGTCAGAACTGTCTAGATTCTAACCTTAGGTTATTGTGTTTTTTTCTCACACTCACTCATAACATTTGAGTTCTTGTTTATTTCCAGGTTAACACATATTGTTTTGTCCATCCCCTGATCACTACATCACTGTAAACAAATTGTATGCCTGTTTTTTGTTTTTATAATTAACATACTCTTTGTTGAGCCCCGGTTGTTAAGAAAATGTTGTCACCTCATCTGTTTTCCGATAGCCACAGTACACTTAGGTGAGGTAATTTTATAACAGCTGTCCATCTTCCGATAATTTATTTATCTTGTACTTTATAATAATTTAAAGAATTATACTGTCCATTTATACATGCAATGTACAAGATTATGCTTCATTCATGATGTTATAATTATTTGGTATTTCATATCACTGATGAATCAATCATACGTTGCTATGTATGCTTAAACAATACATTACAACCAATCAAACTTTATTCCTGAGATATTGTCATAGAATAAACTAAATTGTTCTCAGTACCGACCACCAACGGGTACAGGTGAGTATTTCACCTGTAATTCACACGGTCGAGTGAACTTAATACTGCCAGGCCAAAAACGACATTCCTTATTTACGTGATCATTATATACTGAATCCGTATAAGGACGTGAGGTACATAACACGCTATATCTGGGATTTATTTTAAAGTGATTGACCTTGATTTATGAAAAACATTATCTAAATGATCAATGCGTGCATTTTTGTGTCTTTTTCATGTTTGAAGTAAACCAATTCGCCAGTATTCAAATGCAATCACCTTTCGTTTAAAATATCGCACATGTACAGATAACTTCCGGTGGAACTCACTTTTAAGTCACACACGCATACATTGTTTACTAAATTTTCGGGTCGTCCATTCTCCCTTAATGTTTCACGAGTTTAAAGGACGTTTAAAGCTTTGTTCCCTTCGTTGTATTGTACATGTAGTTTTATGCTATCACATTAAACTGTGTCCTATAAAACACCATGGCAATGTTAGTACAGACAAGCCACCAGTTCGACATAATTATACTTGAATAAGGTGAGTTACTGATGCGTGTCGACGTCAGTGAATACTTGAATAGATATCTCCTAGACGTGTTCAGGTGTAGCACCTGTCAACTACCTGGAGTGAAACCTGTCTTACTACATATTGGAGAGAAAGCTTACGAGAGAAAACAACGCTCTACCCGGTAGGCTTTATTTCTTCACTTAATTATCTATTGGCACATCATGCATTTACCCAATACGTTTTGATGACCTTAGCGAACGTGCATGTCATCTTCAAGGGATTTTCTTTTGTAAAGGTACATTATCTTCATAAACATGTATATGTATATATTTGCAGATGTTTTTATGTTCAAATACTAGGTCCTTTTCAGCGATTATTTTCGTACGACCGAAATATATATATATGCACACTTTTGAGTGGCATGCTCGGTCTAAAATGTTTACCGAGCTCCATTGCACACGCTGTAGTCGTATTTACTATGCGTTTTGGGTTATTCCGGTGCTACTAGCATTGTGGCAACGGGTATCCGGACCCTGTATAATATAATGGTAACGTACACATGTCTCTTAGCTGGTCATTTAAGCATGCATGTTATTCTTACCAGTCAATTATCCTACAATAGGCTTCTGTATTGAATTACACCGCTAGTTATGTGTGACCTCATTATAGTCATACCGTTAAGGCTAAAATCAAGACGGGTGTGTGGGTTGTACATGTGTGTAGCGATATACAAAACGACGGGCACTTTCACAAATATATGAGTATTGAACCATAAGGATTTCGTCTGAAACTCATCTCTATTAAATACGTAAGGTTTTCGAGTTAATATCCTACAGGTGAAGGAAATATAACGTTTCCGTCAAAATAGGATACAAGCCCACGACTGTATACTGTATACCACCTTGTACCGAGCAACTGTATTTGTCAGTATGCTCATTCAATCGGAACAAAGCGTTATCGAGAGTCACAGGCAATTTTGTATAAAACTGATCAGACGTGTGTAACAAGAGGTCGTTCTATATAACAAATTTATGATAGAGCGTTTACAAATTAAGATATTCCATACAGCGTCATGTCAGTGTATATATTTTGTAATGGGCTCATAACTTTCCTCAAAATGAATAAAGTATGGAAGTCGCTTCGTATACTCATGTCAAGAACAATGTCAATAATTACCTTTGCAGAAATGATTTGTCGAAAATATTGTTGATTTTGTCTGAAAAGTAGCTTTGGAATACGGAATTTGAATGACGCAAAATTGCAATGAATAATGAAATTAATGAAAAAACTTAGCTGTACTTGCATTCCTGAACTATTTTTTCCTGAATCGTGACTTTTATTCAGCTTTGGAAATGAATATTTAAAATGTGAGTGTTTTCATCAGTTATTTAATATTTTTTCAGAAATTTAGTGTGCATGTGATATTGGAGGAGGATTTTTTTTTGTGACAGGGATTGTTTAATGCTACCGGAATGCATTATTGAATTTGATATACAGTTTGGTGTTGCAGCCATATTGGAATGACCTTAAGCAATGTTAGAGTTGCTAACGTTCTTAGTTTTTGCAGTTACTTAAATTACTATTTATTATATGATTTAATTTAAAAAAATGTTTAATCTACAAATTATTATATAGGTCTAATTGATATAAGCTTAAGCTAAGAACAGACAAAGGGGTCTTTATATATGACACTATTGTACCGGGTCCATCTAGACCCAGTGACTAAGTCGCCAGGGGCGAGGTCGGACCTGAGCCCAATGATGGTACATACAAATGTATATAGCATGGATGTGGTTGTCTCTTCATGCGCAATAAAATAAAAAAAAAGGAGTTTTAGGGTAGGGATCTCAACCGTTTCTCATCTGACCTAGTCCACGTGGGTGGAGAAGGACCCTAGAGCAAATGCTGGTAGCATGGGTGTGTTGGTCTCATCTTGCTAGCGATGTTTGTATATGGATATAAAGTAGAGATATCTCTTGTTATATCGAGGTACAGCTTTGCATACAAAATCCCTGCATTGTGACAAACCTCCCTGGGAAAATCACACCACACGTTCCTATGGCCCATACATGCTCAAAACCAAATATTGTTACACTATTGAGCCCCACTACATTGTCCCAAGGGAGGGTCACATCTTCCATTTGCATGTAGCTGTAACGTTGAGTTCCTTTGGACAAAGGGTGCTCCGGACCAAATTTGGTAAAACTTCCCCTTCCCCGAACTGAACGATTTTGATTTTATAGATTTACTTTCATTTCCTCTAAAGGCCACCCACCCTTGCACGTGACCGGAGAGGGACTGGATGTTAAAGGGCGTTTACACGGCACGAGTCTCCTTTGCCCGAGGATGTTGCATACTATTTGGGTACATTCTGCTTAAGGGGTGGCCAGCGTGTCTGTCTAAACAAGCATTATGTAGACTATTGCTACACATGTTCTGTGGTTCCCCTTTGCCTATTTGAATATACAATAAGTCTTTCTCACGATTCCCTGGGATAGGCACAGCTGTATTGTCTTGTCTTCGTCTGATGTCGGCATGAATTTGCGATAGTCTGTACTCTTCTTGTGTTTCTATCACAACTTGGTTAATCTGGAAACGATGATTTAAGTTGAGTTCATCGATGTAGTTAAGATTCTACTAAATGCAGAACTTTGCAGCACGCCAACTGGCATCTCCATAGAAGTTTATCATCTTGTCTGTCAGACCTTTAACGGGTTATAACCAGAAATCACACTCGGTTTATCAGTTTAACACTAACCCTAACCCTAGCCCAATGGCAAACAATATACAAAGACATTTGTCCTGAAATAGAAAAAGGACATACACGCACAGAAAACTGTATACAAATTTTAAAAAACCGGTCGTCCTTGTTTAAATCAATGTTCCCTGTGTTATAGTGTCGCTGCACTTTTTCATCCATCTCGTTTAGTTACGGATCCTTTCCCACTGCATTGTGGGTTTTCCTCTGAACAGTAATCTCCCTTCAACTTCCGTTTGGATATAACTGAAGCACAGATGGACCACGACACTTCCGTTAACTTAGTCTCGTTCAACCAGACTCTTGTTGTCTGCGCAAGTTAATTACAAGTGATCAAGCGTCTGGTTGAACGAGACTACCGTTAACTAGGAAGTTCAACCGGTTAAAGCGATAGTATATCAGTCTGAAGTCAAGGGTTCGAATCTCGGTCTAGCCCTCCTGGATTTTAACACTTAGAACACTGTTGTTGATAGTATTATATTTATTTCATCTTTCTTATTTTCCCCAAATGATTTATCAAAGTTATATCAAAGTTATAGTCATGCCTCAAAACACATTTTCCAATGCGTGGAAGCTACAGTCTTTGGCAATGATACGGGGATCCTTATACAAAATATTGACCACTTGCTAATGTTAGTGATGAGGCGGATGGCGCAGTGGATTGATCTGTTATGTACGAGGTTCGATTCCTAGGTCGGGCGTTGGTTTCCTCATTCCTTAAATGAATCAAACGGAAATGATGCACATTGATATATATCCATCATCATCAAATATAGGATGTTTTACTTTACAAACTGGGCAAACATCGGTACACAAACATTCTCCGTCTTAATTATGATTCGAATAGAGTGATAGGTAATTGAGCAAAGACACCTATTTATAATATAAGTTATGTCGACAAATTATGAACTATAGGTGATCACTATCCTGTCTGTTTACTCACCTGCCAAATGAGGAGAATGAAAAACAGGGCCTCACATTACCCATCGTTATCACTGTGGACATGGTTGACTTACTTCTAGGTCATACCTTAGTGTGTCGAGTGTAACTTTACAAATTCCTGTTTTGCTGTAGGTCGTTAAAAGCTAAATTAGACAAACATCAATGACACGCGGTGCAAAAGTTATATTTAGTTTAAAATAACAAATAAGGCGGAAACGAGGCGGAATACTGAGGAAGGGTGTGTAAAATGAACTGAATATTTCTCAATAAATAGAATGTAAGATATTTTTTAGTTTTTGCTAAAAAAACAAATAAGGCACATAATAGGGAACCACATAGTCGAAGGGGGATTGAGGATGGAGACGGTATTACCACAGGGGCATGATAATTTATTACAGCTATTTGGACCTAAAATACAAAATGTAAGGAGTTCAGGCTAACTATGTGTTTTATGGGTTGCAATTTACCGAAACATTCAAGGAATGAGGAAACCAACGCCCGACCTAGGAATCGAACCTCGTACATAACAGAGCATTCCACTGTGCCATCCGCCTCATCACTAACATTAGCAAGTGGTCAACATTTTGTATAAGGATCCCCGTATCATTGCCAAAAACTGTAGCTTCCACGCATTGGAAAATGTGTTTTATCATTTGGGGAAAATAAGAAAGATGAAATAAATAAAATACTATCAACAACAGTGTTCTAAGTGTTAAAATCCAGGAAGGCTAGACCGAGATTCGAACCCTTGACTTCAGACTGATATACTATCGCTTTCACCGGTTGAACTTCCTAGTTAACGATAGTCTCGGTCAACCAGACGCTTGATCACTTGTAATTAACTTGCGCAGACAACAAGAGTCTGGTTGAACGAGACTAAGTTAACGGAAGTGTCGTGATCCATCTGTGCTTCAGTTATATCCAAACGGAAGTTAAAGGGAGATTACTGATCAAAGGGAAACCCACAATGTAGTGGGACAGGATCCTTAACTAAACGAGTTGGATGAAAAAGGGCAGCGACACTAACACAGGGAACATTGATTTAAACAAGGACTTTTTTTTTTTAAATATACATTTTTGTGCATGTATGTCCTTTTTCTATTTCTGGACAAATGTCTTTGTATATTGTTTGCCATTGGGTTTACCCAGAGAGAATGTTGTTCAGCAGAGAAAATACAGATAGCAATCTTGCCAGCCCCTGGAGGAAGAATCAAGTTAGAGCGTGATGACGCTTTCGATGAAATTGTATGAATCTAAGAATCGAAACAGTTTAAGGGTTGTTGTTTTTTTATATTTCAATACGGGTACTTTGACAAAAATCTGAAATCCAGGCTATCTTATAAATTCACTATTTCATTAAGTTTATTAAAAATATATATATATATATATATATATGTATGTGAAATTTTGCATTTTACACATTTCCTGCCCTTATACGTGTGTCCATATATCTACAGTCTGTGTACACCCTGTGTCGTCTACAACAGGGTGTAACTGATATCTTTTACACCTGTACCGTGACACAGCATGAAAATCAGACCTAAATATATATATAACTTTTATTTACTCAAAAGAAACACCAGGACAAGTATTGTTGGGTCTAATAAAATGATACTCATGACGACTGACTCATCGCGATAAGCATGGTATTTATGAATTTGTACACCCTTCTAGAATGTTTGTTTTTAAGGGTTTAACGTCCCAGCAACAGCCAAGGTCATTTAAGGACGTCAGTCTTTTGTGACGATTACATCACAGGACAAAGTCATGCATTTACACAATAGCAAAGATGTTAAGATTTTATTTCTTTTAAGTAAAATCCCTCCATGTAATCGCAGCTAATTCATATTGTGGTACATGTATCATATGCGAACCTTAATGAGGTGTATATGATATTTGTGATCCGGTGACTTCTACATGTACATTGTTCCAGGGGGTGCATAATTCTGTCATGACTAGGCTTTGCCAAGGTTTTATGACAGATTTAGAACCTAAATGTTATACACAATTTCGAACAAAAGGTGGGAGAAAGGGTCGATTGTTACATATGTTCGTGTAATTTTATATTGTTAAGGGGCCCGACACAGGAGATATGGTTAGTGTACGTATACGAACTACGTTTTCAGGAGCAGAGCAATTCATTGCGGCGTACATTTGAGGGTGTATTCATCCCTTCTTTACATGTAGTTGTATACATAGTTATATTTACCATCGTATGGCATTGCCACTATATAACTCTACAAAATTCAGTTGGCATTCATATAGGCTAAGAATGCCATGGACCTATTTTTGACGTCATCAGTATTATGACGTCATACTTGTTACGTTAGATACCACTGATCATCCCTGGGTGATGCTGTTCTATTCATTGAACAAGCATACACGATACATACATTCTTTTAATTAAATGCTGAAAAATATTAAGTTTTATTGGTTTTTTAGAAGATTAATAGAATCTTTCCCTACCTTGAGGGTGTGACAGAGAAATCTCCAACCCGAGGGGTGATGTTTTTTGGTTGTCTAACCCGAGGCGCTGCCGAGGGTAAGACAACCAAAAAAATCACCCCGAGGGTTGGAGAATTCTCTGTTACACCCTCAAGGTAAGGGATGATTCTTCTTCTCCCATCCTATTATTTCAGTCACAGCTCCACCGACAGTAATATGCCAATAAAAACTGGAAACAAAAACACATGGGGTATGCATATCGTCATTCACTTTTGATGACGTCACAATTATCGATGACGCATTTCAATGACGTCACAATTGAACACGTGCTAATCGGCACGAGACTTTCCCCACTAGGGGGTGACAAGCTGATCTTTCCCGGCTAAAACGGGAGACACACGTGTAAAGGGTGGGAGAATAACAGATTCCCAAAATGGTAAATACAAGTATTAAACTGCTTTCAGTTGGCATTCATAGGCAAAATGAATTCCAATTGGACAAAGACAAATCCAACATGAATCACTAGCGCACTTCATTGAATTTGCCTTTGTCCAGGTAGTATTCATATTGCCTATGAATGCCAACTGAAAGCAGTTCAATGCTTAAATAAGGTGAAATTCACCTCTATTGTCATATTTCGACAGAGGGAATAAGTCCACCGGGATTGGGACTGAACAATGAAAGGGCAAACACTGGTGGCGTGGATGTGTTTGTCTCATAATGTATGGTTATAGGGAGGGGAATCTTGGTAGTCGATATTTCTACGGTTAGTTTTGTTTAGCATGCTAATATAATTAAAATTCTTTATTTCATCTTGAGCATATACAGCTCATCGATTCAAAGGAAAATTTCATATAATGTACATTCAAAATCAGCACAGGCTGTAAGATACAATCAGCATATGGAATTTATAATTTAAATACAGGTGTTTTTATGATCTAAGAGCTTTCAAATAAAACTAGTTAGAAGCCAACATAGTAGAACGTAGTAAACATGCATGATATATGAACTTACCCAGGTTAATTAATTCTTTGATATTACCAGTTGAAAATAATTTGATTAATTTATAGACAGAGGGATTAACACGATAATGTAATTTCATATATTTAATTCTTAGTTCGCTGAAGGAGGGGCATTTTAGAATGAAGTGGAATTCGTCTTCTATATCATTTTTACAGAAAAGACAAAGTCTGAAATTTATAACATTTTTTAATATAAGCAAGGAGTCTTTGATCGAATCGAGTAACGGGAGTTGAATATATCTTAATGTGTCCGGTATCTTTGAAATGACTTAGCTGAATTTGTCTTTTATACATATGGAACGTGACGTAAGTGGTCTTGTACAATACGTTAGAAGATTACACGAAGCATGTCATAATATTTATATTCAGTATTCATTTTTTTATTTATTTTTTATTTTTTTTTATTTTGAAGAAACTATGTATGTATATATTTTTACTCTACTACACAGCTGACAGAGAGACACATCAGTTAACATGTCAACCGCAGGAGTCGAGTTGAAGACCGTGAAACCTCTGGGCCACAAAAATGGCGACGCTGACTCGGCCCTAGGGAGTAGCGTGGGTGTGGACAATGTCGCCCTGAAGCTGGAGGACGAGGCCACCACCAATGACAAGGTACGTCACCAGCATGGACCATTATAATAGTCATATGTTCAAATATCGTTTACCCATCCCAAACCCCGGGTTACCATACACCCCCCCC